CTCTGTGAATGTTAATCTTGTGCCAGCACTTACAGAGACGGAGTCAACTGTTCTCCTCTCCTGCCAGACCACAGCAAGCCATACCCTAAACCTACTGCCCTGCACCCTGAATAGTGATCGAAAGGATTTGTTGCTTATTTTGGGGTGGAAAAAGAGAGGGAAAAACATCAGCATTACTTCAGTAAACTCTTCAGCTGTTGATTCTGCTTAGCCAGAAATTAAATTAAAAATACACATAGCATCGCCTGCCAATGTGGCGGCAACCTTCTGGTCACCCGGATGTCCCCAGCTGCGTCCTGCTGGTGCTCCCAATAAATACTGGGAGAACTGGAGTAGCCAAGGGGACAGTTGGAGCCGTGCACACTTAGTTCCCAGCTCCCAGTAAAGGCAAGGGTGCACACAAGCAAGGAGGGGCTCAGCCTATCCATTCTCAGGGGTATAAGCACCCTGTTCACACACAGCTGCCACCGAAGTCGGAGCCATTGGCAATGTTTCCAGCCCCAGGAAACCAGTGATTCTGGAAAGCATCTGCACCACAGACGGCTCTTTACCCACGCAAGGACTAAATTTAATGGAACAATCTAACATCAAAATTCAGTTAAAAACGTCCATCTTTAACTATTGTCCTGATTCGGCAGGGGACTGTAAGAAATGCTTGATTTTAAGACCACACTTAAACTCTCTGCTGAATACGAACAGGATGTTTCTGAAATTAAGCATGTGCTTAAAGGACTTGCTAAAGTGCAAAGAAATGAGATACCTGGCATATCCTCTTGTAGCTCTGTCTCAGAAAAGCAGAAAAGCGTATTCAATCATAAAAGTAAAGTTAGTGGAAAAGCTTCCTCGTTTGAGAGGCGCCACAGAGATTACGGCACAGACCTCACCAATCACTTACGTAAAACCAGAACAACAGCAAGTGATAACCATGCCTTGCAAAACGTTCAAAAAACTCTTCTGCTACCAGTGAGTTATTCCTCCTGTGTGTTAATTAAATCAGCTTAATTTTGGAAATACAGATTTGTACTGACCTAGGGTTTCACACACTGAGCCACCTGGTTGTTACCAGGAGATGTGAAGCCAAAGCAATCCCAGAACTGTGCAGAAGCGCTTCATAGCAATAAGCAAGCAGAGAAACCAGCAAAGGCAAAACTAATATTACAGTAAAAAACTCAGAGACTGTTACAACTGTGAAACTTCTTTGCAGGGTTTAGAAAATGCAAGAGCTTTTTATGGGCCTTACTTTTCTTGCACTCCCCTTTTTCAGGGGACATAAATGACTCTCAGCTGTGAAGGAACTACACGCATTTGGCTTACAGAATAAAAAAAACAAAACACGTTATTTTGGGGTTACTAGACAGAACTCTGTTCTGCAGAAATGAAATCAGAACTCAAAATCAGTGTATGCACGTTTTACAAAGCGGCACTTCCAACTTCTCCGAAACTCCGCAGGCTCGCAATTTCTTGGAGCCATTTTCCTTGCCTGACTTGCAGTGCGCTGAGGAACGTGGAGCTGGCAGGCAGATTGTATTACTACACCGAACCCCATCTGAAAGCATCAGCTACTGCAGGCTGCAGCTGTCCTGCTGCAGAGGCCAAGTTACTCGCACGGAGCCGTGCGACCCCGCTGTTCAATAAGCCGGGCTGCCTCTCCCCAGCCAGCCCCTCTCTGCAGAGCAGGGCAGCTGAGCTCCACCAACACCCCACTGCCAGCATCGCCCGCTTCAAACCCAGAGAAGCAACAGGCTTTGGGGAAGGACCCTTCGCTCCGGAATTCACTCCTACCAGCCTCAGAAGTTGTTGAAGCTCAGAGAGGGCTATGCAACCTGCCTAGTTTCCAAAGATCTTCCATGCAAGTAAACGTAATTTATTTAAATTATGTTTAACTTTTATATTTAAATGTGTACTTAAAAATAAACCACCAAACTGTTAACCAAGCTGCTAACAAGCAAACAAGAATATTCCTACAGAAAATCCATTTTTATATATATTTTTTTTTCCCCCTAAAAAACCTCCTGCCCTTCTGCACGGTCCTATTCCATTTGCATCACAGCACAATGTTTACTGTGCAGTTTTAATGTCGATGGTAATGCAAGCATCCTCAGGTACAACACACAACCGACGAACAAAGACTGCTATCGGCACCCTGCTCTCCATCTTCGGCGACCTGCGTGTGCTCCATCGCAGCTCCTCAGGTTGGTCGCGAGAGAAGCAGCGCACGCACCTTTCCTGCCAGAGGACCCAAGAGCCAGTGCACAAGCTCGAGACTACACAAAGGACCTCTCCAAGGGTCGCAAAATTTAAATCGGAAGGGTCTTTCATTTTTATTTTTTTTTTACGCAAAGAACTGTAACAGCTGAAAAGGGAAAGCTCATCTGATAAACAGAAATTGAAAACGTCACCAGTGTAATCAGATTTTGAGAAAAATATTTACACTGCAGCTGAATCAAGCTGCTCTGCAGCCAAACCCCAGCAAAACTGCAACAACGGAAAAGGTTTTGTGTCTGCTTTTTAATGACTGTATCCTAATTACAGCAAAAATTCATGCCCTCCCAATGCTGGTTGGGAGAATCACTGTAAAATGCAGGGTCCTGCAAATTAGCAAGCAAGTAAACAATAAAATCCCCCCAAGGATAACGCATCACAAAACACACTGCAGTCACTTCTTTGTCGAAGTGCAGTTTAATTACTTGTAAAAATAATGACTCCTTTGTACGGGCTCTCGCTACCATGCGTTGCTGCTCGGTATTTTGCTGAGTGGTACGCGCTGCGTGCCAAATTTGGTGCATGGATTATACAGAGTGTGCATAAACTGAGTGCAGAAAAGAGGTTGTACAGTATCCTTTGTGTTTAGACAGCACATAAATGATATATGCTCTCTTCATGGGATTTGGCTGCTTTTCTCTATTTTGAGACGTAATATTTCTCCTCTCAATAAGGATTTTCAAGCCTCGATCCCGTCTCATTGCAGAAAGTGCTAAGCACAACAAAAGTCTCTGCTGGGAAATCAGGCTGTGCCCATTTTGCAGCTGCTGTCCTCCCATGGGGAAAGGCCGTGGTGGTCCCCATGTCACACAATGCTCCCACTGCTCTGGCCAGCCCCGAGCTCCTAGCACGGTGCTTCACCACCGTCCCCCCAATACGGAAAGGATCTGCGACTTCCAGCGTCCACAGATTTCCGTTTGCAGGGCTTCATGGAGATGGCAGGGGTTTCAGAGTCACAGGGTACGTGGCACGGCTGTCCATTATATATATTTATACATTATATTTCCAGCCAGCAGCCCAAGAGGAAAACTAACCATAATGAACAGTTTAAGGCTAGACTAATAAGTACAGAACCTGAGATCTTGATGGTAACGTTACTGATGTTGCTAGTGTCTTATTTTCAAAGATGAACTGTAAAGGTCATCAGAGAAATCCTTTGGATTACATCAGTAGCACCCGTTGGAAGTCAATGGCGCAGGGCAATGCCAGGTAATCCAAGGGCTCTTCTTTTTTCTTTCCACCGAGTGAGAACTGCCATTCCAGTGCTGGAACCGGTTCTGAAATACTCCACCAACTACATGAATAGCTGTTGTAATAGTTCTGTTTACTTCCCATTTCCTTCTAAACTACCAGCTCTACTCATATTCAGATTACAGTACTTGCTGTGAGCTCTATAATCACGTTTTGGCCAACTGCAGCTTCTTGACAGTATGTAAAGTCTGCTAACATGGTTCACTTCACCTTGAAGAACGTTGCTGCAGTTACAGGATGAATTTGCACGTTCCAGTTTTACAAGATGGTCTACAAGGGAGCTGTGTGTTTTCACAGTATGAATGCTGAACTCAGTGGAGAAAAAAGTATCACTGTCATCATCTCCGTGTTGATCCCAGCCAATGGTGGCAGCAGAAAAGGTTGGAGTATAGCTCCTGTCCCACTCGGCACCTCCTCCATTCTCACGTTGCATGGGGTTGGCCGAATTGTTAAAGATGAAACTTCAATGCAATCACCCCAGCGGCACAGATCATATTTTTGCCTTCTAACACCCCGCCGAACAACTATCGAGAGCAGAATAATTTACAGTTCCTAATGGACAAATGTTGTGTGATAATGTGGACAACACAGCAAACTCCTAAACATGACACTGGGTCACTCAACGTAAACCCCAAGTATCTGAAAATTCAATCCACAAAAACAAAGTTATTAACAGAGCTTAAGAGAACCAGGCATCAGAATAACACACATGAAGACCAAATCTTTTCTCCTTTACAAACAGCCCCCCTCAGGACTCATTTCAGCTCTTTGTCTTTACTAGACTCAGCTTTTAAAGCTAGATCTCCAAACATTTGCTACTCATAAATAAATTGTCATCTTCTGGAGGATTCCTCGTAAAACACTGCAGTAAATGCTCATGCCGCTAGTTGCATGCTATGAGTTTGTAAGATCTGGCTGCTTCTCAAGACCACTCAAGAGAGAACTGTTTCTGCTGTTAAATACTTGCATTAATTCTTACCTAAACTTTTTACTTACATTGATAAGATACATATATTCTACAAGATGCTGCCTTATTTTAACACAATTATCACTACTTCATGTAACCAAAAAGCCCCAGATCTACAAAGTAAGAACACAACAGTCAACCACCACCAGCACAAAGCCCACCAGCTCCCCTCTCTTGGGCAGCTGTGCTTGTTGGAAGAAAAACTTTTTTGCTTGCGTTTGCATAAGGTTTGTCTTAATTAGTTGATATTATAGTGACTCAACTTTGGGCTTTAAGAGACAGCTGGAAGCACAACAGTGTGCAACAGAAAAGGAGAACATAACAGAACTATTGCATTTCCCGTAAACCCTAAGGACCTGCCCCCATTGTTGTTAGCAAGAAAGGTAAAAGCAAAATTACACAAAAATTGTCTTTAAGGGTAAAGTCTGGCGTGTAAGACAATATTCAGTGATAATGTACAGCAAAGGCAAGCATGATACTGAATGGAAAACTAGCAGAGGAACCATCAAATCATCCTTACGCCGTCAAAAGCTGGTACATCTTCTTGTGGCCCCTCTCCAAGGCCAAGCTCACAGGCGTTGCCCCTTCGTTGTTGGGGATCCTCAGAGCTTGTCTTCCACCAGGCAGGTGGAGCAGAAGCCATGCCAGGCGCAGCAAGCCCAGCCTCACCGCAAAATGCATCAGTGTTTCCCGAGGCATGTTCTCTGGGAAGAAAGAAGAAGAAAAAAAAAGAAATGGGAATTTGTAGGCTGCGGGTTAGGTGAATGCCACATCCCCACCTCCCAGCCGCATCACACACCACAGCTGGCATGGAGCTGGCAGCCCAAAAGCCAAGGAACCTGCAGTACCTGGAAAAACACACTGGTGGCCAATGTCCAGAAGACACCAGTAATTTGAAGCGAGACACATGCTACAGTAGGACTAGAAGTGATTAGGACCTCTCAGGGTGAGACTGACCACAGAAGCCAAGGTGAAAGAACCACATAAACAGCCCCAGCGACCACCACGTTTCAGAACTTCCAAATAGAACCTGGCATTACGAGGTGGGCTATTCCAGACGTCCAAGCCTTCTCCTCACACACCCGGGACCAGGGTTTAGGAACGGACAAGTTTTGTTATTTAGGACAGGACGCCGATTTGTCCCGAGGCATGAGAAAAATCAAGTACATCTGAAGCACTAATCGAAAGCTGTCATAAGAGCGAGCAGTTTAACCCCCTATGTAGACGAAAAAATGTGAGGATTTTGCTTTCCTGATTTGATTATGCCTCAGACCAGCTTTTCTCAGCTTTACACAGTAGCTCCATCATTCTGAATAGCAGCATTTATAAACTAGCAATCTCCGCTGCTGCTTTTTATGTTTAATAACCATGACCACCTAATTTGGTAAAAGTCACTCTCGAGCCTAAGCTTTCATCTCAGAAAAATATCCCCCCTACTCTAAAAGCTGCAGTGCTAGAACAATGCTCTGAAAAGTTTCAGCCAGAAACGAGCTCCAGATGCACTGCTGAAATACAGTTTTTGCAGATCAAAGTCTGTTACTTCTGTATGAAAGGCAAAAGCATTTGGGTTAAAAAAACTGTGAGAAATAAGAATTTCTTCTTATAATTAACAAAAGATTTCAGTATTGACTGGCAGCAATAACAACAAAGCAGCAACTGGGTCTCAGTAAACCATGCCAATGAGCACACTTGATATTTAATATCATAGCAATGATTTATTGGGTTATTAATTTGGTTGCCAGCCAAATCTATACAGCAGGTTTAAAAATGCAAGGACGTAATGGCTTGAGGATTTAATTAAGTATCTTTTTTCCTCAGGAAGTATGCCCCAAGAGAAACCACTTCTTCAAAGTGCTCTTGTTTTTCTTGGTTAGTTGCTTTCTTAAGGGACATTGTTAAGACCTTCAGTGAAAAAGAAAGCAAAAATGGGGAGTTCTCCCCTGCCTGAACAATTCTTCCTGACGTTTTGGATCAATTCCTGAAGAACTAATCTGTATTCAAGAACCAAAAAACTTTCTGGCACCGTCTCTCTTCCAAATGACTCCAAATTAGGTCTCCGGGCTACAAACCAATCCTTCCCCCTTAACCTCCTCTTGATTACCGTAAAGCAAAACCATGCTGTCCTGAATACATGAGCATGTCTGAATGGAGGTTCCAGCCGATCAGAGAAAAAGGGAATAGCTGAGCTCATTCAGAGACGAATTCTCAGCCTGTGGGAGTGTAATGACAAGGAGTTTGGTATTGCTATGGAGCGTAATGCTTTAGAAATAAACAACGCAACAAGGTAGTTAAGTTATCGTTGTCACAGTCTGAGACTTGGAGAATAATGAAAAATAACACACCACATAGACAGATCTAAAGGAAAGGCTACTGATGAGGTTGCAAAAAGGAGAAAGTGTTGATACACGTGGGATTTACCCCGAGTGAAAGCAGATGCCCAAGGTTTCACTCAATGAACTTGCACAACACTCCTACATTACCTGTACACTAACACAGTGTTGGAGCCAGCTAGCACAGCTGAAGCAGTACAAATCCTCCTACTCAGATGCAGGACGCACAAAAGCACCTCTGCTAGAGCAAACAACTGCCGTCCAAACAAAGAAAGTGTTGCACTGGTCTGATTACACCTGTTCTAGCATGGGACCTCCTGTTCCAGCTGCTTCGTTGAAAGGAAGAATCATCTTCCTAACTAAAACAGACAGTCTCGCACCAGAACTGAGCAGAGTAGACCTGCAAAGCATAAGCACAAGTCTCTGGACCAAAATGTTTCCTCCTCCCTCAGCTGAAAGCCTTACCGCTGGGTAGAAGCATCTTCTGCTCACCAACTCATGGTTCACCACTAGACACACATACCAATGGCAAGTTCTGCAAGATCCAGGCAAGTACTCATCCTGTCCCTGACCCAACTGGGTGCCCCTCTCTGCCTCATATTTCCACAGAAGAAATGCCCCCTCCCAAATGGCCCAAATGTCCATCTGATGTAATCTCCTCATATGACAGAAATTTCTGAAAACTCCACCTGTTTCCCATTCTTTTGAAACCATGTTCTTTATCATCAAATTAGTGGACACAGGGGTCCCAGCGTTTGGATGGAGGTGTCTACAAACAGAGCTGAACTGCCTGTGGCCCTGCCCTGCCCCAATGCCTTTCAGCAACGACGACGTGCACAGAAGATCTGTACAAGAAGACATGGCGTGTTGCCATCCAGAGCATATTAAACACACAGACTCACTATCCAGGCCTATTTGGAAAGATCTGCCTAAAATATAAACTGGCACGAGGCCATCCAAACAGATGGGCACAGATGATGGCTGCAAAGAGACAAAGTACCATACACACAACAACTGCAGGGGCCCCAGGCAATGGCTTTAGAAGGTTCTGGAGCGTGCAAAACTTGCACAGCTACATTAAGAGGCGTGTGCCATCTGTGGGCTGGATTAACTACCAATCTATAATGAAAAAATTATCCGTTGGTGTATGGTGTTGCTCAGAACAAGAGGAGAGCTGGTCTGCATCAAGTATGGGAGTGTTGCTGGATGGGGAAGGGAAGATGACGGACAGATCTCCCCTACCTTTGAAGAAGCTTGCAGTACAAAATGTTGGAAATTCAGTCAATGATTTCAAAGTCTTGTCACGGTGCAAAATGCCCGTCCCAGGCATGGAAGAGTAACAAAAGCTTTAACATGCAATAGCCAAAGCTCCTTCTCCTACCACATATCAAGCATGAGCTCCTCATCTTAAAATGGCCATCCTCTGAATGTCAACAAAAATCTTCTTGTAATTAGGAAATTGTGGAAATACAAGACATACGATACTGGAATGGCCAAGGTTGTTTTGTTCCTTTCTTGTTTCCTAGTAATAGGCAGGAGTTAAAACATATAATTATTGTCCCACAACGGCAGGGCACTCTAATCCAGCTGGCAAAACTTAGGACTTCAGATATATTATTTTTATGTATTTTTTTTCAGCTGTGACACAAGAGCAGATGCTTTATCTGGGTAACTAAGGACAAAATTTCCATAGAAGACTGTCAAAGGTACTTTGTTAATGGTAAAGGATTAAGGTTTAAGGTGCTATTAGCACAGAACAAATACGCATTGAAGAAGAAAAAAAGTTTTGGTATGACACATCCAAGAACATACAAACTGTTCTCTGAGTAAAAACTTTCATTTTAATCCTGATTAAGCAACAGAAAAAAAATACCGTTCCTTTTTAAAAACCGCTCTCTACATAGAGTAACCCACACCTAATTGCTCTGTTTATCCTCCATGTCCTGAGACATCTCGTCAAGGAACAGACAGTCATGGACTGGCTAGTATCTCTTGCTAGACTTCTTGTGATGGTGACCTTCACTTGGTTCTTACCCAAAATCACATATACGTGGCAATTTTGAAATCTACCATCAAATCTGGCCTCAAAAAATCACGCTTTCTGCTGGAAATGTTCCCACTGCTCAGATAAGCCCTTGAGAAACCTGGGGAGCAAAAACCAGCAACAAGCTATCGCTTAACGCCGAGGTCCTAGAGGAGGCCTGCAGCAGAAAACAGCAGTGAAGGAAGGTCAAGGCAAAGACGCTGTGTTTGGAGTTACGAGTTCAGTTAATAAAAGGATGTGTGGGTAATTCCTTTTTAATCTCATAAACAAGAAAATTCACAAAGCACACCAAATCATCTTCATGTCCCCATTCCCACTAATACCAAAGGGAACAGAAACTTTCTCATGCCAATGACTTCTCAGCCACACACTGAGCAGCACATCCGAGTACCGAGCAGCACATTTCAGACGCTGCCTCAACAATAGTTATTTTTTGCTTCCCATTTTCCACTGCAGAGGGCACTAAATTTAGGTATGGAAAAGATTTTTTACATCTTCTCAAGGACTCCAGCTGAACAGACCACTTTGTGCTGTTGGCATGGGAAAGATCATGTCGATTTGTACCACATACAGCCTTCATCAGAGGGCAGAGAAAGTGACCAGCAGATTGGGAAGGATATGAAACCGAAAAAAAAGGGTATCTGCAACTATGACACTGAAAGGGTTCAAAGAGAAACTATAAAAAGAGTGCAGCAGATGAACAGATTAAAGCTTTACATCTGAAAAACATCATCAGCCACATATCTTTAACATCGTCCCATGGAAAAAAACGTTAGCTCCTAACAGTCAAATTTCCTTCTAACTATTTCTGAAAGCTTTTTAAGGTTTTTTTAGGCCTTATGATTTTTACTTTAAAATAAGGCACTTTCTTGGGTTACTTTCTCTCTTCAGACATTCTCCCTTTCTGTAAAAAAACCCAAATTACTTATCTCTAATCACGGTGACACTCGTGTTGCGCTGTGCACTGATATCCCATCGGTTTTGTAGATGAAGTTCTACAGCTCGTTATCCAAACCCAGACTATTTCAAACCAGGGCAAAGCATTTCCCGCTCTGCCCCCCTCCTACCTAGCGAGCTCCCTGGTTTCACTGCTCAGGCAGTACTTACCGCACGCGGCTGTTTATTCCGCAGCATTTCTGGGAAGCTGTACGTATTCAAGACACCAGTAACCGCGTTCCTAAAGTTAAGGAGCTGTTAAGTGTTTTATCTAACGAGATGGTCTCCTGGTTCTATGCCCGCAATTGTGGCTGACCATCTCGCAGCTCACCAAAGGGACTGCTTCTCCTTACGCTCCCAGGCGAACGGCTCCACAACGCGGTCCATCACTGCA